AGCACATGATCTTGTTAACTATCTTGTAATTCAACCCCTGCTTGCTTTCTTCCATCTTTCGCTCCTTAATTTCAAATCTGTTAAACAAGCTGTAAAACGCTTATTCTCCAGGGCATTTGAGATCTCATTCTCTGACATGTCGTAAGTTTGGCTCCAATAAACTCATAAAAATTCTCTACATGTTTGGACTTTCCTAATGTTGACTATTGTAATCCAAATAACTGTAAAGTTAACAGGAAAACAGACACGAGCATCTTCTTGGGAAAAAATGGCATGACACCTACCTTGCAGAGTTCCCAGCAGCCTTACCAGCCAGTGTGCAGAAAGGGAATGAGAAGTACCATGCCTGAGGCTAGACATGGGCAACACAACAGAGTGTCGTGTGTTCAAAACAAAGAGTATTGATGTTGTCTACAGCGCATCCAAAACCAAACAGGTCTACATCAGGACCCTAACAAAGAACTGCATCATGCTCATTGACAGCACACCGCAGCAAGCTAGAAGAAAACTCACTATGCACTACCCCTGGGCCTCAATGGGTGGCAAAACTGACTCCTGAGGAGGGAGAGATTTTACTTGTTTTGGGTTTTTTCTTTTTTTCTTTCTTTCCTGTTTGTTTTTGAGGAAGAGCTATTAAACAAACAAAAAAAAGTGACTGTTTCCTTTTTCCCCTTAATTTCTCCCTGGAAAGGTACATCAGCATTGGGCATCATCTTCAAAACTACTTCACAGGTGAAAACACACAACTGCTTGCACACAGTCGATGTCATCCTGGCAAAGATGCTGGATTTGGAAGGGTACTTTTTCCTTACATTTGTGTTGCAATGAATAAATACGTAATTATAAGCTTACCAAAACACCTTTGTGGGATTTTCTGGAGGTACCACAAAAGTAACAGTCAACCAAGAAAAATCTTTAAATTGTCTTGTTCAAGTTGTTTTAAATAACAGAATTGCTCTTGACCATACCTAGCTGAACGTGGTGGGGTTTTGCTCTGTTATTAATACTTCCTGTTGCACTAAGAATAAAAAAACACTACTTGTGAAACAGAGATGAACCATGATAAAATCTAGGCACAAGCCAAATGTTAAGTGCCCACTGACACTTCATGGTTCTTTGATATCTTCAGCTGGCTGCCCTCAGGTATAGTCTCCTGGTTCGAATTTATTCTCAAAATTGGACATAACATTTTGTTAGTTATTATAGAAATTTTTGCTGTTATAAAACTGTTTTTCATAGTTTGATGTTAATAAAAACACCACTCGGATAATGGTAGCTCAGCATTTTGAGATGATCACCAAGGCCTGTCAGACGGCATGTGAGAAACCTCAAGAAATGACAGAAGATATTAGCTCTTAAGGCAACACGACAACAAAGCTTTCCTCTGTTCTACCATCTGTGTGGCTAAAATGTGGCCTACGGCTCCTAAGAAAACCATGTTCCTTCCTATGGGGAAATGACATACAGGGAATGCGCTTTTCCAGTAAGGGGAAATGAACAATCTTTCTATTAACTGATCAGTGTTGCTTTCTGAGAACTGATTGTGATACTTTCAAGGAAAGATCTTGATGACAAGGGGAAAATGTAAAAAACAATATAAACAGAACCAGTTAAAAATGGAGTCACAGCTGCCACCCCAGAGGAACCGCCTTGCACTTCTTACTCCTCAAACTCATCTATTAAACTACTCTTTGGACTGGACCTAAAGCTGCACTGCATCCCAAACAACCATTTATAAAATCAACAGGAAAATGGCAACATAACTACTGGATGGAAAATTAAAGAAAGTTTTTAGAATCAGTATCATTATTTTAGCTGATCTACACCTATAAAAATTCATTTTTTAGCTTATTAACACCCATAGAAATTCCTCCCTTCTATTCTTGTAATTATTCCCCTTTCCTTTCTCATAAAAACCCTTCACCTTCAACTCCTAACCACAATATTATTTGTGTTTATGCCTGAATCAGTGCTTGCAGAATAGCCATTCTCTTGGATCTCAAGTAAGTACTTGTTGCCTTTTATTGTAAGGTTAACAGCATATGTCAAAGATAGGACCCAGGCATAGCTCCCGTTTACATATATCCAGATGTTAGGATATAGCTTAATTAAGTTAATAAGCTAAAAAAACTGCTTTCTCATATAGAGACTAATAAATAAAAATTGATATGCTCATCCTATTTTTTTCCATAAGAACTTGTGGGCCATCATTTGAGAAAAACTGCAAACTTTTAAAAACACTAAACCCTGCCAATTTTATTTCTTTCCCATAAGAGACTGAACACAAATTAGCAACCACAATTGGGTCCTCTGTAGTGTTTGAAATTTAAGGCATTGTTCCTACTTGTAGAGATATACTTACTAGGTCACAAATCTATTAAAGGCTCAAAGTTACTCTGGTAGTATTGCAGGAGACAGCATAGGAAGAATCCTGAGACTGCTCTGCTATTGCTGGCCAGAAACTGTAGCATCCTGGTTGCCAGGCAACACCTTTTAACACTTAGGTAGCAGCTGGGAATGAGTGGCCAGAAGGGAAATAAAGGCAGGGCCCTCACTATTCCAATCTAACAAAAACTTTAATAAAGAAGGCTAAAAGCAAAAGCTCACACATTGACCCAATAATCCAGAGTCTGGTCCAATAAGGCGGCCAGGTGCCCCAAACAACAAGTAAGAACTATGATAGTTAAGGAGAAAGGGAGCCCTTGAAAGTCTGTGCGTATCATCTCCACTGGCTGAGAAAAGAAAAACCTTGAGGCTGTGTAGTCATCCCAAGGCCTGGAAGGGAGCAGGGGAGGGGGCCCACAGTGCCCAAAGAAAAAAAACCCATAAAACAACTTTAGTTAACTGCCTGCCTCCCATCACATGTGTACAATGAACAAACAGTCTGGAGCAAGATAAAGATTCGGGCTAACAGACCCCACCCGTACCTACATTTAGGTAGTCACATCTTGCCCAGAAAGCTGGCGCCACTTTACCCACCAATCACCATGTGCTTTGCACCCTTACCCCACAAACCATATAAACCCTCAAAACAAAGATTATCCCTCCTGGCCTCTTCTCTTGGCTCATGGCTCTCTTGTCACATGGGAGATGGGGGTGGGGCTGGGGGTGGGAGGGCCCTGGCCACTCAGCCTCTGGCTACCTGGGTGCTGGACACCCCAGGCCTTTGGCCACCCTTATTTTTTAAAATATATTTTATTGATTATGCCATTACAGTTGTTCTATTCCCTCCCTTCATTCCCCTTCACCCTCCACACCCCCACCCCCACCATTCCCCCCCTTTAGTTTATGACCACGTGTCTCAGGTTCTTTAGATTCTATATCTCCTCTACTATTCTTGCCCTCCCCCCATCTATTTTCTACCTACCATCTATGGTACTTATTTTCTGTACCTTCTCCCCCCTTCTCCTTCTCCCACTCCCCTGTTGCTAACCCTCCATGTGATCTTCAATTCTATGGTTCTGCTCCTGGTCTAGCTGTCCTTTTAGTTTGCTTTTGTTTTAGGTATGGTTGTTAGTAAGTATGAGTTTGTTGTCCTTTCACTGTTCATCTTTTTTTATCTTCTTTTTCTTAGATAAGTCCCTTTAACATTTCATATAATAAGGGCTTGGTGATGATGAACTCCTTGAATTTAATCTTATCTTCCATTCTAAATGAAAGCTTTGCTGGATAGAGCAATCTTGGATGTAGGTCTCTGGATTTCATGACTTGAAATACTTCTTTCCATCCCCTTCTTGCCTGCAAGGTCTCTTTGGAGAAATCAGCTGACAGTCTGATGGGAACTCCTTTGTAGCTGACTGTCCCCTTAGCTCTTGCTGCTTCTAGGATTCTCTCCTTCATTTTAATCTTGGCTAATATAATTATGATGTGCCTTGGTGTGTTCCTTCTTGGGTCCAACTTCTTTGGGACTCTCTGAGCTTCCTGGATTTCCTGGAAGTCTATTTCCTTTGCCAGATTGGGGAAATTCTCCTTTAGTATTTGTTCAAATAAGTGTTCCACTTGTGGCTGTTCCTCTTCCCCTTCTGGCACCCCCATAATTCAGATGTTGGAACATTTAAAGATGTCCCGGAGGTTCCTAAGCCTCTCCTCCTTTTTTTGAGTTCTTGTTTCTACATTCTTTTCTGTTTGGTCATTTTTTTCCTCTTTCTGGGCCACTCCTTTGATTTGAGTCCCAGTTTCCTTTCCATTACTATTGGTTTCCTATGCATTTCCATTCATTTCAATTAGTTTAGCTTCCATATGTTCCTCTAATTTGTGACTAAAATCAACCAGTTCTATGAGCATCCTGATGACCAGTGTTTTGAACTGTGCATCTGAAAGTTTAGCTATTTCTTCATTGCTTAAATTTATCGGCTCTGGGGCTCTAAGTTCATCTTGAGCCATGTTTTGATCTTTTTGTGCCTGTTACATATGAGGAGTGGAGCCTTAGATGTTCGCCAGGGCGGGGCCACCTAGGTCGCTGGTTTGTGATGCTGTAGGTGGGGACAGGGTCAGAGAGGGACAATGGTGGTCCCCTCTGCCACTTCCCGCCACTGGGGCCTGCATGGTCTGTCTCACTGCTTGCTCCTTCACTGGTTTATCTGTGCGCGAATGTGTGACCCTGATCAGCCCTCAGTGGGTCCACCCACTTCTCCACACCTGGGATCCGCCTACGGTTGCTGGTGTGCCTGGGTTGAGCACCTGAGTTGGTGTGGTGGATCTTTCCTGCCTGACCCCTCTCTGCTGCTGGTTCTACCCCTTTTACCAGTTTGGCTGAAGGGTTCCTTGTTGTCAGACTTCCGTATAGTTCAATTTTCTGTGGTTTTGGCTGCATTTTTGTTGCTAAAACTTTGTTGTTTTTAAACTTGGTTGTGTGAGGAGGCACAGTGCTTCCACCTACGCCTCCATCTTGGCAGAAGTCTTTGGCCACCCTTATTTTTGCCACTTTTATTTTTTCCACCCTTGCTTTTGCCCTCCCATTCACTAATAAACTTTGCCTGCACACTAATAGGCTCACTTACCTCTAATTCTTTACTGTGTCAGTGAGAAGAACCAGGGTAACAGTAGCACATCTAGTGTCCAGATCTTGGATTCTTATAACATTCTGGGAAAAAAAGGACCACAGTGTCTTGAAAAAAAAATTTGATATCTGGGTTGGGGCATGGAAAATGTAAATTGAGCCTAGAGAATTTTGTGATAGCAGAAATTAAGAAAATTATTTAATAGGGAGGAAGAGGCTCCTGAAAAGAATTAAGTAAAATGGAAGCAACCATGATACCAGATGCAGAGTTTAAAACAATGGTTATAAGGATGCTCAAGGACCTTAGGAGAAGACTGGGTGATATCAGTGGGAACTTAAACAAAGAGATAGTAAGCATTAAAAAGTACATAAAAACCATAAAAAAGGGACCAGTCAGAAATGAAGAGAAAATATCTGAATTGGAGAATACACTAGAAGGAATCAATAGCAGGTCAGATGAAGCAGATGATTGAATCAGTGAATTAAAAGACAAGATCCCAAGCAGAGCATCACAAAAGAAAAGAAAACTTTTTTAAATGAGGAAATCTAAGGGACTTTTGGGACAATATCAAGAGTAACAATATCCATATCATAGGGGTACGAGAGGAGAAGGGAATGAGCAAGGGATCAAGAACCTGCTTGAAGAAATAATGGTTTGGTTGCTCACTTGGTTAGAGTATCGTACCAATATGCCAAGTTTCAGGTTCGAGTCCCCATCAGGCCACTTACAAGGATCAACAAATGAATGCATAAATAAGGGGAACAAATAGATGCTTTCTCTCTCTCTCTCCCTTCCTCTCTCTCTAAAATCAATAAATAAAAATTTTAAAAAAGAAGCCACATCAAGTTTGGTAGGAGGGGCATAAACACAGAATGGGCTGGTCTCATACTCACATGTGTGGGATAAAAATTGGGAGGGGTATCTCCCTGCAGAAGTTCCCATGGAGAAGTGAGAAGTACCAGCTCCACACCAGGCCCCCAGCCCAGGTTACTTTGTCAGAAAGAGAAGGCCCCACAACTTCTGGCTGTAAAAACCAGTGTGGATTGAGGCTGAGGGAGACAGAGGGTTCCTGGAGTCCCAGGAAGTTCCTCCTAAAGGGGCCCAAACACAGGATTACTCGTACTCACTCCCTCTGACCTCCAGGGCTAGGTCAGCAGCTCGAAAGGCACCACACACATATGGGGAAGAACTAAATTGTACTATATCAGGGCAAGAGTTTGGGGGTGAGGGGGTGCAGCTTTCTCTCAAACAAGTTCTAGCAGAGGCCATTGTTCCTTTTCTGAGCCCTTCCCCAACAGAGCCAGCTGGAAGCTGCAATATCTGAGACTCCATCATCCTGGCTCACACTGTTTGTCCCACCCTGGTGATTCCCTGAGGCCTTGCCCCACCCACCTTCAAGGCCCACTGAAGGAGTTTCCAGTGGCTTTTCTCTAATAATGGCCATCCTGGTTCATGCTTCAGATTTCCCTAAAATCTCTCAAAACAAGCAGCATCAAGACTCAACTTGCCCTGTACTTCTCACTAAATGTCAGCAGACCCAGCACTAACAGCAGTGGGCCTTGGTTTGCAGGTTGGCCTCATCTGGGCAACTCCAAGCCCAAAACAAGTAGCAGTCATCTATAGGTTGCTTTGTAGCTCATGTTGGGTGGCTTCAGGCAGAACACAAGTGGTAGCCAATCTTAATCTACACCTCCCAGGAGGCCCAAGAGCCAGCGAGCATACCCAGTGTGGCATCAGACTCTGTCGAAGCACCTATCAACACCTCCACAAGCAACACACTCAAAGGGAGGACTCAGAAGGCACCAGAACCCTACTAACACAGGTCCTGCCTCTGTGGAGTGAGCACCTGCACAGCTGATCCCTCATGGTGGTTGGAAGTCAGTGGTCAAAGCCAGTCCTTGCATACAACTGGCCTGGGGGTAAATCACTCACATTGACATACCAGCAAGCAAGGAATGCTCGAATACAACAGAAGAATGTACACAGCCCACACAGGGCGATGTACCTTGAGTGCTCAACTTTGGTGATAGGAGAGGCTATGCTGCTGGACCCTACAGACCACCTACTACATTAGGCCACTCTACCAAGCCTTGGAAATGTCATCTCCACCTGAAACATAGAAACAAACACTGGTAGGCTGCCCAAATGAGGAGATTTTTAAAAAATGTCCCAAATGAAAGAACAGAACAAAACTCCAGAAAAAGAACTAAACAAAATGACAAGCAATCTACTAGATGGGGAGTTCAAAACACTGGTTATAAGGATGTTAAAAAACCTTAGTGAGAATTTAAACAGCATAAAAAATGGCCATTTCTGCTACTTCATACCAGAAATGAAGGATACACTAACTGAAATGAAGAATAATTTATAAGGAATCAACAACAGAGTAGATGAAGCTTGGAATAAAATCAGTGATTTGGAATATAAGAAAGGAAAAAACACCCATCCAGAACAGCAAAAAGAAAAAAGAAAAAACAAAAAAGAGAGAGAGAGATGAGGATAGCATAAGGTGCTCTATGAATCCTAAAAACAGCAAGAGAAAAGCAGTTAGTTACCCACAAGGGAGCTCCCATAAGACTGTCAGCTGATTTCTCAACAGAAATTTTGCAAGCCAGAAGGGATTGGCAAGAAATATTCAAAGTGATGAAAAGCAAAGACTTACAACCAAGATTGCTCTACCCAGCAAAGCTATCATTTAGAATGGAAGAGTGGATAAACAGCTTCCCAGACAAGAAGAAGCTAAAGGAATTCATCAGCACCATACCAGCATTATATGAAATGTTAAAGGATCTTCTTTAAGAAGAAAAAAATATCAGAAATATGAATAAAATGGCTATAAACAAATCTATCAACAACTGACTCTAAATGACAAAATAAATGAACAAGCAAAACAGGAACAGATTCACAGATACAAAGAACATTTTGACAGTTGACAGATGGGAGGGGATTCAAGGGGATGAGTGAAAGTGATGAAGAGATTAAGAAGCACAAATTGGTTGTTTCAGAATAGTATTGGGGATGTAAAGTGCAACATAGGGAATATAGTCAATAATATTCTAAGAACCATGCATGGTGCCATGTGGGTGTGAGATTTAACAGGATGATCAGTTAGCAAGTTATGTAATGTCTAATCACTGGGCCATACACTTGAAAGTAATATATATTAACTATAATTGGAAAATCAAAAAATGATTTTAAAAAGTGCAGAAATAGCCCTGGCTGGTGTGGCTCTGTGCATTGAGTGCTGACCTGAAAACCAAAGGGCCACTGGTTCAATTCCTAGTCTAAGGCACAGGCCTGGGTTATAGGCCGGGTCCCCAGTGGGGGTCGTGCGATAGGTAATGACACATGGATGTTTCTCTCCCTCTCTCTCTACCCCTCTCTAAAAATAAATAAGTAAAATCTTTAAAAAATAAAATAAAAATTTAAAAAATCTATTAAAAATGCAGAAATAGATTTTGGGTATGTGAATTTTAATACCATCTTGATATAAAAGAATGTTTCCTAAGGAAGCTTTTGCTGAATGCCCAGGGTCTAGAACAAAGATGACCAATAAACATTTGTTACTATGAATCTACTTTTTTTCTGAAAGTGAAATGAACTTCTATAAGTCTGCTACTAGTCAGGAAAATAAACTATGCACCACTGCAGGTTATTTTCTTAACTATTTGCTGGATTTGCAATCTAACTTTTTTTAGTCTATTTTTCTATTTCGTTCTAACTTCTTTAGTATTATTTTTAATTATTATAATAAGCTGGTTAATTTTTTAGTTAATCATTAAACCATACACAGAAAAATTACAAAGAAGAATTCACTAATGTTCAAACACACCATCCAAAGTTGTGGATGAACTTTATGTCTTGGGGATAAGAAAAAGACAAAATATATTGGTTAATCCCTTTAAAGGTATTAATATTATCAATTTTTTGCTTCACCCTGTAGCAATTTCCATGCTCAATAAGTTTTTACTTACCAGTATAAACTCTAGTTTCACACATTTACAGAAAGGCAGTTTTACCAAGCAGCCCTTATACCACATGGAATCCATTGCACCCACACTGTTTTCAGAAAAAGCAGTCTGAATTTTCAGTTTGTAGTTCATATTTATTTTTGTTTGTTATTTTATTTTATTTTTCATTTCTCAATATTTTTAAAATTATAGCTGAAATGCAATATTATATTGGTTTCAAATGTACAACATAGGGATTAGACATCTATGTACCTTCCCAAGTGATCACCCCATGAGTCTACTACCCATCTGACACTATACATACAGAGTTATTAGAGTTTTATTGACTATATTCTCCATGCTGTACCTTATATCCCTATGACTTTTTATAACTGGCAATTTGCACTTCTTAATCTCTTCTCCTTTTTCACCCATCCCCTAACCCCACTCCCATTTGGCAACCATCAAATGTTCTCTATATCTATGAGTTTGCTTCTCTTTTGTTTGTTCATTTATTTTCTTTGGGACACTCTCCATATAAGTGCAATCACATAGATACCTACCAATAATTACTCTAAATGTAAACACTCCAATCAAAAAATATAAGGTGGCTAATGAACAGGAAAAAAGATGCATATATATGCTGCTACAAGAGACACACTTTGGATGGAAAGACACACATAGATTGAAAGTAAAGGGATGGAAAAAGACATTTTATGCAAATGGAAATTTTAAAAAGCTGGGGTAGCAATATTTACAAGACAGACACACAAAAAAGACTAAAACAAGAAATAAAGAAGGACCCAGCAATTCTACTTTTGGGTATTTATCCAAAGAAACCCAAAACACTAATGTGAAAAGACATATGCATCCCTAAATTCAGTGCAACAGTGTTTACAATGGACAAGATATACAAGCAACCTAACTTAAGTGCCCAGGTTGAAGGAATGGATAAAGAAGAGGTGCATAGGTATAAACAATGGAATATTATTCAGCCAAAAAAAACAAAACCCAGAAATCTTACCATCTGCAACAACATGGATCTAGAAGGTATTACACTGCTTTTCATTTCCACTATCAAATGTAACTGGGAGGGACTAACTAAAACCTAGACATCTCGATTCTATTTTCTA